TTGCTACCATTTCCCCTCAAAGTCTCTTTAGATGACTACCTTCTAAGTGAGTCCTTTGGTAATCCCATGTAATAACTCAGGAATCCTTCTGTTCATTTTCTGAGAAGTGGCTTACACCCTTATTACATTCCTCATTTCACTAAGCCTTACATTTTAGTGAGTTGTTTACATCTCACTCTTAAGCAGACACGAAGCTCCTTCAGGTTATGGATTATCTTAGTTAAAATAATAGTATTTTGCTACCTACCCAATGTCCCAGAAATAGAATCCAGAATATGGCATGGAAAAAAAAAGATAAAGCTTATGGAATAAACTAAAATAGTATTTCTGTCCTTCTAACTAAAAGATAAAGAATAAGTGTAGTGAGTATGGCTCATTCAGCACCCACTGCTATAGACACATAGCTCTAAAAGAAATGATATTTATAGGTATAGTTTTGTCTTTCTTTCTTTTTTTTCTCTCTCTCTTTTTTTTTTTATATAACAGATGTTGACATTCTCACACCAAAAGGCTTCCTGGGTGAAAATGGAAATTGAAAACCCTATTCAGAAATAGGCAAAACAACAGATGTTCTCTATCCAAACTTTCTGCTTTAATTCAAGGCTTATTTCCAAAATCAAGATCTCACTGTTATTACTGACCTGTTTTCATCTTTTTCATTCTTTCCAGGCCCATTTTTACAAAATGTTTTATTTTCTAAGCATTTTTATTACTGGGTGCAATTAAATAATGTGTCTTGCAAAACAGAGGAAATGAATGAATCTTTATAATTCACTGACTAATTGTTGGCAGACGTGGATAACAATTTCAAATACTAATGGAAATCTACCCTGAAATAAATCCAATTAGGTTCAAAGTATCATAGAGAATTAAGTTTTATATAGTAGCAATTTGATCAAAAGGTCTGCAATTAATTTTTTTTAGTTTATAAAAAAACATATGGTTATATGATAATTTCCTTTGACATAAAGTGTTCTTTATGGAAACACAGATACACTTTTAATTTATATTTGTCTTCCCTTTATCTATTCTAGCTTCTGCTGTACTCAGCCTAACCATCCAGTTCATTATAGAGACTCTAGAATTACAAGAACACTTTGCTCAATCAATTGTTCTTGCCCACAGTAGGGTCTTTATTTTACAAAGATGAACAATTTATCCTTAACCGGATAATTACCAGGTACATCACTGGTCTTTTCTAGTAAAGAAAAAAAAAATGAGATTCTATTGACAGTGGCCTGGAATTTCATAAAATGCCAACACACCACTATAAGCTTTCCTTCTATTTCAGGATAAACTGTAATATTCTTGGCAAGGGGATGAACTTCACCTGGGTACTAGTAGGTGAGCTCTTCAGAGCATGGTGAAGACATGTTAAATGAGTGCTGGGAAGGAATGTTAAGCAGAAACCATGTACTTATAGAAAAGCTTCTGCTCTCCACCTCACTGAGTTTCCTTATTTGCAAAGCAAAGGGACACTTTAAAAAAAAAGAAAATAAACAACAAAACATAGCTTTGGAATCAAAAGGCCTGAGTCCAAACTTGGATGAAACAAAGCTCTGCTATTTCCTAGCACAGCAAACCTGAATTAAATGCTTCCTTCTCTAAAAGCAGAAAGTAACATCTACCTCCAAGCACTGTATGAAGAATAAATGATAGATAATAAAAGAATAGATAGAAATGTGAAAAGTCAACTACACTATTCCCAGTTTATATTAGAAACTTAAAGGCATATTAATGTCTTTTTTTTCTTACCATTTTAATTACAAGTTAATTTTTTTTTACTATGTTAATTTTGAGTTTTGGAGGGGTAGTCTTTTATCCAATAAAGTATAATTCTGGGCAGTTTATAAATGCTCAGGAGAAGCAAATGAGCTGCCAGCTGCCTGGAATGAAGTCTCAAGTCCTCACTGTAGGGTAATGAGAATGAAAGAAGCTCCAGACATTGTCCTGAGCTTGAATTTATCTCTTATGATTTCCTCACCTCGGTTTTGAGGCAGAGTTTTAGTTTTTATGGGCCTAAGTTTTCTCATCTGCATAATGAAAATACTTCTTAATAATAGGTTTGCAAAGATTCAGTGAGATAATAGTAGCTGTCACATTAGTGATGATATGATTCATTACATCAGAAATATAAACCTGAAAGCATGAATAACTGAAAAATATTTGGACCATGCAGCGACTCAAGTATAAGAATTAACTGCCACCAGATTGTAAAGCTGAAGGCCACAAGCAATATTTGCCATGAATTGTTAGTTACCTATTTTTGCTTAGAATAAAATTACCTTTGGTTTCTGTGAAAGAGGCAAATGTATGTATGTACACACATACACATTTGTTAATTCATACAATGGAATGTACCCATAGTCATGTATTAGTATTTATCCTTATAATGAAGGTTATCTGGTACAAGTCACTATAATAAATAGCTCATGTGGGTAACACGTAAGAACAAATTACTGTTTCAAGATATGGGTAATGGCAAATTAGGCAAATTATTTCTGGTCCCCTTCATGAAAATTTGGCACAAAGAGCCTCAATGTTTTCCTCAGAAAATGGTCTGCTTGGGAAGAAAAAATAAACAGGAGAGGGGAGCTGGTGAGGGCACGCGTGGATTTGTAGCCTGAATTTTGAATCTGGTTTTATATTAGATGTAGGCTAAGGAAGGTAAGGAGAGAAAGAATATCTCAAGAAAAAGTTCAGTAGAGGGAAGACAGAGAATTAAGAAAATGCAGAGGCTAGTAAGTAAGAGAAAGGTTAGAGTCATTCACAGAGAATCTAAAAGATGAAATATAAAGTTCAATTACTGGCAGGATTTTAGACAGTTTGATGAGTTTAGAAGCTGAACTGTCAAAAGTTTGTCTCATGCTTTTTACTAATGGCATGTTAAATCAGTACTAAACAAAGAGTTTTATTCTAGGAAGAAAGGGAATAGTAACATTGTTCAATCTGTGAGATAGCCAGAAATAAAGGATTAGCCCTTGACAATGCATATTCCTCAACTTTCATATCCAATTAAGTTCCCTTATATTTTTACTCTTTGATTTCTCCAGTCTTCCCACATTTCTCTATCTCTATCATTTGCACTCTAGTCCAGGCTTCTCTCATCTCTTACTAAAACCACTATAAGAAGCCAACTAACTTGTCTCCCAGAACCCACCACTGCTCACCATACTTCAGCAGCCCATATCTCTGGTTCTCTATTGAACATGATGTCTGGAGTGATCTTTTCCAAAGGTAAAGCAGATCTTGTAGCAACACCCTCCTTAAAACAATTCCTTAGTTCCCATTGTTTTTAGTATCAACATAAAAATCAACAATTTACCCAACAAAGGTTGGATGAGTTGGTTTCTATTTCTTTAGCTCCATCATCTTGTATAGTTCATCCCTCTTGTTCTGTGCTACATACTAGTCAGTCTACACTGGCCCTAGTTCAATTTCTCATCATATAGAAAATATTCCAACATTTGTCAAAATGATTGAATTGATTATTATTGATCTTAATGAATGTATGTTTTAACTATTATTGTGTCTATTATGACTCAATTTTTGGTTAATAATTGTAAATAGAGTCTGTGAAATGGAAACAAGTATATGATTTTCTCAAAGATAAACTCACCAAATTACTACTAGTTACCAATCTACAATTAGAGACAAACAATTGCCCCTACCTTTTTTGAAGTGGAATATTTTTTGTTTTATGTAATTCACAGAGCCTTTTGGAAATTATTTTACATTAATGATAAAACGATTGAACAATATTCTTGTGAAAAGATCACCTAACTGTCAGTTTGAGGAGTTACCTAATGCCCTTTAACTAATCTTTCAAGGTGTTAAATTACCATTCAGTATCAGCCAACCATTTTTCCCTCCCCTGTAAATAAATATTTATAAATGAAAAAATCTTGCATTAGCTTTTTTAGAAAGCTTTTCTCTTATGGAAAGTTTGAAATAAATATTTGAAAAGCTTATAACCAATTCATTGAAGTGGTTTTCACAATAGTAGCCTAAGATAGATAAAGAGCTAGCATAAATACAATAGTAATTTAGTGGTCAAATACTCTCAGATCTACTAGTGGCACTCAAACCAGCCTTCTAGGATTATGTATGGAAACTTGAAAAACTGAATTTAAAACTTGCACTTCTATAGCCTTCCTTAAGAGACTGATCATTGCTCAAATAAAGTTCGATTTATAATGTTCTGTATATTTCAAAGCATAGGAGTTTGATATATCTGTATGGAATACTGATTACCTTTTCTTTCTTCTGCATCTAAATCACTCTATCATGATGTTGAAGAAAAACTGTGTCTTGTAGTCATCGCAAACAGCAGGCACTTAATTAATATTTACTCAATGAAATAGCTGACCCAGAAATCATAATATACCAACATTTAAGCAGAGATTAGGATAAATGAATGTTAAATATTTATATTCAACCACTGCATTTTCATGCATCACTTCAGCTAAGTTTTCTATTAGAAAAAAAAAATTTTTGATGGTTAATTCAACAATATTTACTAAGAACCTATGATTCAATCTGCTGGGTCAAGGAGGTGGATAGGAACAGGCTCCCTGCTTTATTGTGTAATTAGTTCTATAGACATTTGTACAGGAGGAAGTTGATAACAAGCTTGAGTGAGAGGGGGAAACCAGTACTTCCCAACACTGTACATTTTATCCATGCAGATATTAGTATTCCTCCATCAGCAAAAAGGAGTTTTCAAATCATTTTCTTTAGAAATCTGTAAATTTTAAGGTGAACCATTCTGAAATTATTTTTCTTCTTGTGAAACTAATTTTTCTAGCTATCAGACTACTATGTGCAACATAACTATAACATTCTACAATTGTTAGGATGTAGCATATTATTACATGTCTAATCAATTAGAACTTTCAGTTAACAACATAGAGTTGGACAATAGAAAATACAAGAGACTTGTGATTATTACGATTTGAATAACACACATTTTTTAAAGTCGTAGCATGCAAATCTTTTACCTCTTGAAATAACAGTTTCTAACCCAGTTCCATTAATAAAAGCCCGTTTAATGGTTTGTGTCTTAATATCTGTCCAGTATAGACGTTCTTCAGATGCATCGAAGTCTATTACAGTGACATCATCAATATCGGGGACTGTAAAAGCCGTGATAAAGTTAAAATATGGATTATCAATATCCACTCCTCTGATTTCAGAACGCCTTGCATAAAGAAGAAATTTTTTCATTTCTAAAAAAGAAATAGAAATAAGTGTTTTTCTATCATAAGCTTGGAAATTTTAAAGCAGTCTAAAAAATCTAAAATATTACTTGTTGACTGAATAGATTTTTAACACCAGAAAAATCATAAATAAGATTTGATGAAAATGTTAGTTCAGAAACAATTTATCTGTTTTTTAATTAAAGTACTTAATAGAAAGAAATGTAAAACAAACTAAAATCCTTAAGTCACATTTTTATTTAGTTAGAAATACTAAGAAATTATCAGTAATTGATTTGATCTTAGAATTTCAAGCAAACTTGATAAAACATATGAACTCTACAAATGTCAAACCATCATACCTGTTCTCTGTACATAATTTTAACAATATTGTATTGAATTAAATACTTTTTGAGGGAATTTAATAACTTTTTCCACACTACCTTTGAATAAAATGAAGTTAAACATTACTCTTAAAAATCAAGTTCATATTTTCCGTATCAAAATTAGGGTTCAAGGAATGTTAGGGAATGTTTATTGTAGTTTTTTGTTGTTGTTGTTCATCTGTAGTAAGTAACATTGTATCATTTTTATTCCCATAGGAATCATTGTTGAACCAAGTTTGTGAAATAGAATAGTATACTAAATAGAAATAGTATGCTAAAAAAAATTCTAAATAATAAAATAGGAAAGCTAATCTATTTTTTTATTGTTCACCTTGAGATTGTTATTTGAGATGTTGTGATAATATACAATTAATAAAATCCACCTGTGCCTAAATTCTTGAGTTAAGATTTTGTGAGAACCTTCTTTTTTGTCGTTAAAAGTAATTACTTTTCAAATAAGCAAAAAATATTCAAATTAAAGCAAAGCCAAACAGAAAAACCCACAGATTTTCATTCACAATTTTATCATTTCTTTAGTTTAAATGTGCTGTTTACCTATTTTTTTTACAAATCTTTCAAAGTTATATATTTTACTTTATCCACCCACCTCCCTTCAAATTGATAATCCCCTAAAAATTTATGATAAAGTGACTTCAGAAAAGCAGGAGGAAATTAAAGCTGTTAAGTTTCCCTTTGTAATGCAGGTTACCTACATCATCGTTTTTTGATAATGCACTTTCACTTACAAATCTTCCTGTTCAGTAGAGATAAATTCTGCTAACATACCAAATAAGAAAGTTGAAAAAAAAAAGTAATAAAAATAGTAAAGTGCAGCATATCACATATTTAAAGAATTTCTCAGTCTCCCCCAAAGCAGATGAATCGTCAATACAGTCTGGAACCAGCACCATCTCAAATGTTCTTAAGGACATTAAAAACCTCCTCTGCTTTACTTTGAGGAAAATCTGAATGCTAATACAATTTGAGAGAATTCGGTTTGAATTTAAGATAAGAACTTTGAGAAATTTACCATAGCAGGTCTTCTTGTCTGAGGAAAGCTTCATCAAATGGGGGCACGCACAGGCAGCACTCCTATCATGATGAATCAGGCACATGTGAGAGCAGGGGCCTCTGCCCTCGCTGGCTGCACAGGGATTGGGAGCTGTAACCACACAATGAAATATTAACCGTGAAGAAGGTAGAACATATGAGGGAACTTCTGAGGGTGACAAGGTTTATTCACGTAATGATTCAAAATGATGTTCTTTACGTAACACCCATTAACTAGGGTGATTAATATGACAATAATAGACAGCAATTACATTAATAAAAACATTTTCCTCCTCAAAGATGACAACTAAGATAACTCCTCAAGTTTCTCTAAGATGAAATGTGTGAATCCTCTTGCCTTGAAAGCAAGTTTGTTTTTAAGGATTTATTTTGAGAAACACCCAGGGATAATTATCAAATTTAGTAGATAATAAACTCAATCCAGCATTGAGAGTACCAATTGATGTTATTTTCTCTAAGCTACTGTAGAGACTCCCAACTTCCCAGCACACCATTCTTAGAGGTTTTCCTAGAAAATGACTATTACAACATATACATCCTTCCTGCAGGCCAATTCCTCTTTTTCCCATCAGATATATATCTGAGGCTTGTCTTCATTATTAAGACATCTACTTCTTCCTTTGTATTTTTTTCCTGTATTAACAGAGTCCATGGCTAAAATATTAAATTTTGCAGTTCAGTGTCAGTTTCTCATTCTTTTGTGTTTCTTCTTTTGTCATCATGACTTTTACATAAGATTTTAATCTCAACTGATCAATACGTATTCTCTCAAATATATTTTTATAGAGCTTATCTAGTAGAATAAAGTCTTTAGAATCAAGCTACTAAAGGCAGGAAAATTCCCACCAGCAATATTTTAGTTTTCAATTAATTTTATCTTCTTAATAGGTAAACCTATTGCTCAGAGTAGTTAGTATCAGTCCTGTAGAGTTTTAAACTATAAAAATCAATGGAATATAATAAAATTGCAGAGGATATGAGAAATTAACTGAATTTAATAAATATTCAATGTGGCTTTTGCCAGTGTTTAACAACCCCCCAAAAGAAATAAAAATAACCTATGTCTTTGCATTTGTGTTAATAAATAAACAAAATGAAATACTCAAACATTTTTCTAGGAAATTAATTAAGAAGAGAGTTCAGGATAGCATCATAGAAGGGTTCTGAACTCGCTTCTTCCCACAAACATAACATCTACAGCAACATGCACAACAATTCCCTCTTGAAAAGACCTTAAAGCTAACTAACAGTGCCTCCACAACAAAGAATAACAGGGCCAAATCAAAACACATGGGAGAGATGGAGACATGGTCTCCTGAAAAAAACCCCACCCCAGATGCAATGATTCAGTCGGGAAGGATTTCATAATATGGATATTGTCCCTGAGGAGCAAGGAGTTTGTGCCTTACATCAGGCATCCCAACATTTGGGAACTGAACTGGAGAGATAAGTTTCCAAAGAACCTGGCCTTGGCAACCAATGGGGCTTACCTCCAGTAGAATAATAGGGCTATAGGGAGTGAAAAAGTCAGTCTTAAAATGCTCAGGCACAGACCCACACATCCAGAGACCCAGTGTAAAAGTAACAGTTGGAAAGGAGCCTAAACCCACAAAGAGATTATTTTGTTACTCTTAAAGCACCTGCAGGAGAGGCAGGAACCTTTTAAGACTATGATGGAAGCACAGACAGACACAATTTTTGAACTCTCCTGCCTTGTTGATGCTGGCACTGGTGGGATCCATTTCACATGGCCCCTCTAGCCTGCTAGCTCCAGAGGGAGAGCCCCACCTTGATGCAGCACAGCTGCAGCCCACCCTGCCTTAGTGACGGGGCATGCACAGCCCAATGAGGGGACTCCCCTTGAATGCCTGGCTCTGGCAGTTATAAGTGGTTGCATTTCTGGGTCCTATGGTCTGAAATACTTGGAGAAATAGTCTTTAGCAGTATACCACCCCCTGGGCACTGCACAAACACCAGACTGAAACAGATACTCAGTCTTTATGTGAAAAAGACCTTTCCTTATAGTAGAGTTTCAGTTGATGGGCAGGCTTCAGGTTTGCCATATATCCAGAGGCTACCAAGGTGTTGGCAGGGAGACACCATATTAGTGTCCTCCCTTGATCTCCTCACAGCTCACTGATACATCCCAGAAAGGAGCTTATGCATGTGTCTAAAGCCACAATTTTTGTAACTGTCAGCCAAGGGATCCCTCCAGATCTCCTGGTCTGGAAGTCAGCAGGATTCATGGCTGAGAATCCACAAGACTGTATTTATATACCTTAAAAGCTATTACCTTAGGATCAGGCTTACAATTAGTCTGAAACTAAGTAATATCTAGTATTTTTCCCTCTGAGACACTGACAGTTTATAGCATAGTCTTAACAACTGGGACAGATCAAGAAGAAATCAGGCTACTTAGACTATCACAAAGTCCAAGAAAGAACCAAAAGCTAGGACAGGCTTGATCCGTAAGATTCATCTCCTACAATAGGTCACTCCTTCAAGACTAGGAGAGATAGCTGTTTCACCAAATACATATAAACAAATAGAGAGAGTAAACAAAATGATGAAGCAGAGGAATATATTCCAAACAAAAGANAGCACCATCTCAAATGTTCTTAAGGACATTAAAAACCTCCTCTGCTTTACTTTGAGGAAAATCTGAATGCTAATACAATTTGAGAGAATTCGGTTTGAATTTAAGATAAGAACTTTGAGAAATTTACCATAGCAGGTCTTCTTGTCTGAGGAAAGCTTCATCAAATGGGGGCACGCACAGGCAGCACTCCTATCATGATGAATCAGGCACATGTGAGAGCAGGGGCCTCTGCCCTCGCTGGCTGCACAGGGATTGGGAGCTGTAACCACACAATGAAATATTAACCGTGAAGAAGGTAGAACATATGAGGGAACTTCTGAGGGTGACAAGGTTTATTCACGTAATGATTCAAAATGATGTTCTTTACGTAACACCCATTAACTAGGGTGATTAATATGACAATAATAGACAGCAATTACATTAATAAAAACATTTTCCTCCTCAAAGATGACAACTAAGATAACTCCTCAAGTTTCTCTAAGATGAAATGTGTGAATCCTCTTGCCTTGAAAGCAAGTTTGTTTTTAAGGATTTATTTTGAGAAACACCCAGGGATAATTATCAAATTTAGTAGATAATAAACTCAATCCAGCATTGAGAGTACCAATTGATGTTATTTTCTCTAAGCTACTGTAGAGACTCCCAACTTCCCAGCACACCATTCTTAGAGGTTTTCCTAGAAAATGACTATTACAACATATACATCCTTCCTGCAGGCCAATTCCTCTTTTTCCCATCAGATATATATCTGAGGCTTGTCTTCATTATTAAGACATCTACTTCTTCCTTTGTATTTTTTTCCTGTATTAACAGAGTCCATGGCTAAAATATTAAATTTTGCAGTTCAGTGTCAGTTTCTCATTCTTTTGTGTTTCTTCTTTTGTCATCATGACTTTTACATAAGATTTTAATCTCAACTGATCAATAAGTATTCTCTCAAATATATTTTTATAGAGCTTATCTAGTAGAATAAAGTCTTTAGAATCAAGCTACTAAAGGCAGGAAAATTCCCACCAGCAATATTTTAGTTTTCAATTAATTTTATCTTCTTAATAGGTAAACCTATTGCTCAGAGTAGTTAGTATCAGTCCTGTAGAGTTTTAAACTATAAAAATCAATGGAATATAATAAAATTGCAGAGGATATGAGAAATTAACTGAATTTAATAAATATTCAATGTGGCTTTTGCCAGTGTTTAACAACCCCCCAAAAGAAATAAAAATAACCTATGTCTTTGCATTTGTGTTAATAAATAAACAAAATGAAATACTCAAACATTTTTCTAGGAAATTAATTAAGAAGAGAGTTCAGGATAGCATCATAGAAGGATTCTGAACTCGCTTCTTCCCACAAACATAACATCTACAGCAACATGCACAACAATTCCCTCTTGAAAAGACCTTAAAGCTAACTAACAGTGCCTCCACAACAAAAAATAACAGGGCCAAATCAAAACACATGGGAGAGATGGAGACATGGTCTCCTGAAAAAAACCCCACCCCAGATGCAATGATTCAGTCGGGAAGGATTTCATAATATGGATATTGTCCCTGAGGAGCAAGGAGTTTGTGCCTTACATCAGGCATCCCAACATTTGGGAACTGAACTGGAGAGATAAGTTTCCAAAGAACCTGGCCTTGGCAACCAATGGGGCTTACCTCCAGTAGAATAATAGGGCTATAGGGAGTGAAAAAGTCAGTCTTAAAATGCTCAGGCACAGACCCACACACCCAGAGACCCAGTGTAAAAGTAACAGTTGGAAAGGAGCCTAAACCCACAAAGAGATTATTTTGTTACTCTTAAAGCACCTGCAGGAGAGGCAGGAACCTTTTAAGACTATGATGGAAGCACAGACAGACACAATTTTTGAACTCTCCTGCCTTGTTGATGCTGGCACTGGTGGGATCCATTTCACATGGCCCCTCTAGCCTGCTAGCTCCAGAGGGAGAGCCCCACCTTGATGCAGCACAGCTGCAGCCCACCCTGCCTTAGTGACGGGGCATGCACAGCCCAATGAGGGGACTCCCCTTGAATGCCTGGCTCTGGCAGTTATAAGTGGTTGCATTTCTGGGTCCTATGGTCTGAAATACTTGGAGAAATAGTCTTTAGCAGTATACCACCCCCTGGGCACTGCACAAACACCAGACTGAAACAGATACCCAGTCTTTATGTGAAAAAGACCTTTCCTTATAGTAGAGTTTCAGTTGATGGGCAGGCTTCAGGTTTGCCATATATCCAGAGGCTACCAAGGTGTTGGCAGGGAGACACCATATTAGTGTCCTCCCTTGATCTCCTCACAGCTCACTGATACATCCCAGAAAGGAGCTTATGCNAGCTTATGCATGTGTCTAAAGCCACAATTTTTGTAACTGTCAGCCAAGGGATCCCTCCAGATCTCCTGGTCTGGAAGTCAGCAGGATTCATGGCTGAGAATCCACAAGACTGTATTTATATACCTTAAAAGCTATTACCTTAGGATCAGGCTTACAATTAGTCTGAAACTAAGTAATATCTAGTATTTTTCCCTCTGAGACACTGACAGTTTATAGCATAGTCTTAACAACTGGGACAGATCAAGAAGAAATCAGGCTACTTAGACTATCACAAAGTCCAAGAAAGAACCAAAAGCTAGGACAGGCTTGATCTGTAAGATTCATCTCCTACAATAGGTCACTCCTTCAAGACTAGGAGAGATAGCTGTTTCACCAAATACATATAAACAAATAGAGAGAGTAAACAAAATGATGAAGCAGAGGAATATATTCCAAACAAAAGAATAAAACAAAACCAAAAAAAATAAACCTTCATGAAACAGAGATAAGTAATCTACACTGAACTCAAGAGAAGAATGAATACAGGAATAGAGTGAGAACTTCAACAAAGAGATAGAAAAAATAATAAAATATCAACCAGAAGTCACAGAGCTGATAAAAACAATAGCTGAACTGAAAAATACACTGGAGGGGTTCAACAGCAGGCTACACAAAGTAGAAGAATGAATCACTAACCTGGAATGCAGGTCAGTGGAAGTCACCCAATCAAAGCAGCAAAAATTCAAAATAAATAAATAAATACATGAGGATAGCTTAAAAGAACTGTGGGAAAACATCAAGTGAAATAAAATCCACATTATAGGGTCCCAGAGGGAGAAAAGAAAGAGAAATGGGTAGGAAACTTATTGAAGAAATATTGGCTTAGAACTTTCCAACCTAGAAAAGGAAACATACATACAGCTCAAGAAGCACAGGGAGTTCCTAATTAGATAAGCCCAGATCCATACCAAGACACATTATAATGCAAAAGTTAAAAATTAAAAGATAATATACTTGCTACATACAAGGGAGATTCCATAAGATTATCAGCTGATTTTTCAGCAGAAACTTTGCAAGCCAGAAGAGAGTGGAAGGGTACATTCAAAGTGCTGACAGGAAAGAAAAAATTCCAGCCCTAAATACTCTACAGGCAAGGTTATTATTTACAATTGAAGAAGAAATAAAGAGTTTTCCAGACAAGCCAAAGCTAGAGGAGTTCATCACCACTAAACTTGACTTACAAGAAATATGAAAGCTGAAAAGAAAAAGTAGTAATTAGCAATAAAAAAAACATAAAAAGTGAAATCTCTCTGATAATTCCAAATATATGATATGATAGATTAACTACTTATAAAATTAATCTGCAGGTTAAAAGACAAAAGTAGTAAAATTAACTATAATAATCAGTTAAGGGGTACACAAAATTAAAATTTGTAAAATTTGACCTCAAAACCAGAATGTGTTGGGCGTGGGGAACAAAAATGTATAATAATTTTAAGAGGATTGAAATCATATCAAGCATCTTTTCCAACCACAATGGTACAAAAGTAGAAATCAATTACAGGAAGAAAACTGGAATAATCACTAATATGTGGTGATTAACAACCAAAAAGTCAATTATGAAATCAAAAGGGAAATCAAAAAATATTTGCAGACAAACAAAAATGGCAATACAATAGTTCAAAGTTTAAAGGATGTACAACTGCAAAAGCAGTTTTAAGGGAATTTTATACCAATATAGGCCTACCTAAAGAAACAAGAAAAACTGAAGTGAACAATCTATCCTTATATAAAGGAACAAGGAAAGCAAATGATGGCCAAAGTTATTAGAAGAAAAGAAATAAAGATCAGAATGAAATAAATGAAATAAAGACTAAAAAGTCAATAGAAAAGAATTAGTGAAACTAAGAGCTGTTTTTTCATATGATAAGCAAAACTGATAAACCTTTTTAGCTAGACTCACAAAGAAAAAAGGGCTCAAATAAATGAAACCAAAAGTGAAAGAGAAGTTACAACTAATACCACAGAAATATGAAGGATCCTAAAAGACTACTATGAACAATAATGTGCTAACAAATTGGATAATGTAAAAGAAATCAACAAATTCCTAGACAATATAGTCCTCTAAGACTGAATAATGAGGAGGCGGAGTGGGACAGTGGGAATCTCCTCCCAAAATCATATATATTTTTGAAAATACAACAAATACAACTAATCCTAAAAGAGAGACCAGAAGACACAGGACAACAGCCAGACTACATCCACACGTGC